AGGCCTTTTCCCCGTGTAAATTAATCATGCATTGATTTGCTAAAGCTATAAAAAGTGGCTAATGAGGCTGTATATGTCTAGGAAACAGTAATTTCTTATTCAAGTTGGAGTTATCTTAAGCAGGAAGGTAAAGAATCCTTAGGGTTGAAATAGTTTGCTAGATGTAGCTATTTCTATAAGGTCAACAAGGATTAAAGTATATCTAAAGGTTTGTTAGAAAGGATAAGGATGAAGTGAGAGAGAGTAAGGGGGAGATTCCTTCAAAGTGGGATATTCTTTTTAAGTTATGATGTCTTCATATTTTCTGTTTAACTTCTAAATAGTGATAATGTAAAAGAATTTTGGGACTATTAACTCATCAAAAAATATTTTTATGTAATTATTAATAATAAGTTGAGTCAATAACATGAACATAGAAGTAAGCAACCTACTATATTAAGTTAGAATAGCATTATAAAGGATAGCTCGGTGTATTAAGCCTCCGCTATAGGGTCCGGGGAAGGACCAGATCACAAGGGTATATCGTACGCAACCTTACCCTGCATTTCTGCAAGAGGCTGATTTCACGACTCGAACCCGTAAAAAGTTGAACTGCATTGAGAACATAAAAAGTTCTAATATCGTTAATATATACTTCCTTCAGTCGTTGATTTTTTAGTTATTTTCACACATATTAAAGAACTCACTTTTTAACATTAATTAACAATAAAATTAATCATACTAACTTTTTCTATCTCTTTAATTTGTGAAAATATAAAAGACAATCCAAAGGTAACTTTGGAAAAAATAAATTAATTTCTTTTTGAGATATAAAATTTCAAATATTATGGACCACAAAAATAAAGGTTAAGAAAGTAATTAAAGTAGACCGCCGGAGGGAGTATACTCTAAATCTATATATATNATTTCACATGCTTTGATGATTTGTTTAACGTTAATTTGGTTTCATTTATGCTAATTAATTGGTGTCATGTTTATCCCGACAAGTTAAGGTCCTGTTTCCCATCTTGAAACTTGGGATTTTAATAGCTAACACCTAATAAAGATTGGATCAAAACACCTAGTTGTTGGCAAATAAGAATCATCCCCATAATTATGTTCCTTAATTCTATTTGTTTAACATTTTAATCAGTACTACATTTGATATCAAAGGTATCTTTATCATGTGACACAGTCATAATAACTTGGCACCACTTCTTTTCCTTCTTTTTTATTCAAAAGAAAGTTTTATGCTTTAGTGGTCCTCATTTAATTATAGACTAAGTTATTGTTTTTATCTTATTTAGTCCGTACATTTTGCCCATTTAATTTACTGTTTCTTCTAAATGCCCAGCTCTATGTACAGCTCCTATGCCACTAAAACACACATGACATTCCACTAATCATAGTATTTCCAAGACCAAGGGATGCTAAACAAATCTGCAAAGGTATAGGAGATGCTAAATCTTTTGAGGAGCCTTTCTATATGTAATTTCCTTCACTTCCTATATCTCTTTATAAAAAAATAAAAAATAAAATAAAGTAACCCGATACACGAAACATCCCGCATTCACGTAGGGTCGGGGGAATAGCCGCACCTCAAAGGATGTGATGGGCAGCCTACCTTGATGCAAGAATCAGTAGTCGATTTCACGACTCGAACCAGTGAATAGGTCACACGGAAAATACTTTATTGTTGCTCCAAGGCTCCTCTTCCTTTCTTATATCTCTGTATAGTACTGATATTTTGGTATGTAATCTTGCAAGTTCCAAACTAATTCAAACTAATTATATAGTAAAATTGATTGAGGTACGTGCAACTTGATCCGGATACCACGATTATCAGGGCCGGCTGGAGCCTAAGGCCGCTAAAGCAATGACCTTAGGCCTCTAAAATACTTAGGGCCCCAAAATCTATAAATAATATATATAATATTTAATAATTATGCAATATTAATAGAATTTTTAAATCATTTGGTTAAAATAGTTATAGCTAAAAGTTTTACACGTTTTAAATTGTAGTTACTAGTTATTTTTACGATGTTAGTTTAAAATAATTTATCTTAATTCTTTGAGTGCCTCTGTAGACATTTTTCGAGCTACTTTGATAAGTAACTATTAAAATTCGTCCTTAACATTGAATGACTCTTGAAACATAGTAGTTATAACTCCAGTATTATTTGTTTTAACTTATATTTAGAATTAAAAGTGCTAAGAGAAACTGTATAAATAGAAGAATACTCTAATTGGCAAACTCAAATACTCAATCAAGTAATAAGTGTTAATTCAATTACCATTAATAATTTTTATATCAGTTGCCTCGGTTGAAAAAAATATTTCAAAACTAAATCAATAAAGTTCAACATGATAACACAGGAGATTAAGCAAATTGGTTAGACATTGACAATAATAAAAACTGACAATAATACCCCACTTCCAACCGAGAGGTTGTGAGTTCGAGTCTCCCCAAGAGCAAGGTGGGAAGTTCTTGGAGGGAAGGATGCCGGGGGTCTATTTGGAAACAGTCTCTCTACCCTAGGGTAGGGGTAAGGTCTGCGTACACACTACCCTCCCCAGACCCCACTAAGTGGGATTATACTGGGTTATTGTTGTTGTTGATTATAACTTCTTTAGATTTCGGTATATTACAAGAGTAAAAAATTAATTAAAAAAATTTAAGGCCTCACTTTTTATTTTCGCATTAAGGCCCAATTTTATGTCGAGCCGCCCTGACAATTATAAAATAATTTTAAAAAGAGGTGAATTTGCTGGCCATAGTAATCTAAATTGACTTGTTATCCTAATATCCACATGTCATAAGCGAGCTAAATACATGATTCAAACCTGATGGCTTGATTTAAAATGGCATTCTGCTCATTTACTTTTACCAATGAATAATCCAATAGAACCATATTCCAAGTGTTAATGTACGTCATTTACTTCCTTAATTAATTGGGATATGGGATCATCCTTAAACACTCTCTCCCTTAATAATAATAATAATAATAATAATAATAATAATAATAATAATAATAATAATAATAATAATGTGTTGAGCTAATCCTTTTGTTCATTTCTCATATTTCCAAGTTGTATTGCATTTGTATGTGACGTAAACCAGCTATTTGTGTCTGTAATATGGAAAACAGTCTCTTTCCATGTTTCCCTCTCCACTTCCCATTACTATATCACGAGTATATTTTTTTTGGCCATTTTTCCTCTAACTTTGAGCCCATTTTGCCCTAGTTGCAAATTCTTTTTTTTTGTTCCCACTTGTTATTTGGTATCTGTATTGAAGCCCGACTAGATTAAGATTCGCATCGAAAAGTCCAACATTAGGGGGTAAAGTGCTTCCGATCAAAAGCGATTCCATACCCGAACTCGAACCCAAACTTCTGGTTAAGGATGAAGTAATACTTACCCCAAATTCTTATTAGTGTATTGGAAAAATCGAGTTTACATATTGAAGTGATTGGAAGATGACCTGTCATGACACGAAGGCTAGTCAAAGAGTGATGATTGGCAAAGAGACACGAGTTGCAATAGATACGAGCAGAAGGTACAAGTAGAGGCACGAGCAGCTATTCAAAAGACTCAACACTCATACCTATTTATACTCAAAACTCAAGGAGAATGAATCTGACAGCATAAGAGAGTACAGATACAGTATTTAATAAGCAGTAAATAATGAAAACGTTAGAGAATCTGTATTAAATTACAATGATTATGTAACGTAACATTTAGTGCTTTTAATTGTCTATAATGGCTTAATCATAATAAAGGCAAAACGTATATCTTCAAGATAGCTATAAAAAGGATAGAATGGATCATTTGTAAGGACACGAAAGATAATCTGAATATACTGGTTTACTTTATTTTTTTTTGGTCTATCTTATTGTTAGCAAAATCAATTTCCTTTATTCAGTTTTGATTATTAGTAATCCGTGTTCTTCTAAATTAACGCTTTGAGTGAAATTTCACTTTTTGGTTAAACAATTAGCACGTAAGTTGTGCATCCTATCCTAATTGAATAATCAATTCTTTTAAGTTTTTCCAAAACTTTTGAATTGAACAATCCATAATTTACGCCTTAATTTGAGCCATAATCTTGGTAACGTACGACTTTTTCTTAATCTAAGCTCCATTGGCCTACCACGCAAACACACCATTCTCCTGTTAATATTTGTTTAAGGCTTAATTCCAGTCCATTTAACCTAGAGATTATGATGGATTGGAAATTTTTTATGCCTATTCAAAAGCCTAAAGGGATATATGCATAAAGAAGGATTTTGATCATATTTCCCTTAGTTGGTCTTTCCTACAAATATCCCTTACTAAGTAAGTCTAAGAAGAAATAAAGATTCTCTCCATACTTAAAAGCAAGAGAGAGCTAATTATGCGGAATTCAAAGGTCTTCTACAGTCTGCAAAGCTTTAAGCACATGCTCATCCACTTAGGTATTTTTGTTTTATCCTTGTAAAGACTTTCCATTATTCAAAATTTTTCTATCTCTCTCTATATATATTATTTTATATATATATATTATTTTATTTTATTTTATTTTAAATTTTGAGAATTAAAAGATTCCTACACGAGTCCCTGTCAGATGTCCTAGATCCAAAGACATGGTATGTAGTAATGTGGATGCTTTTGTGGTTCTAGCTAAGAGTTTATTGCCCTGCCTCTTTTTGTTTTTGGATTAACAATTTAAAACACCTCTTTCCACCAAAAAGGTAAGTGTGAATAATATTGAATCAAGTTCGAACTTTGGGAGTAGAAAAAATTCTTGGTAGGAAATGAATCCCTTCCAATGAGCCTAACTCTATGCGAATTACGATAAATTGGGACACTAAATCGAGTATCAATATAATTGAGCACAAACATTGTGTGGAAAATAAAAATAAAAATATAATTCCCCACAATTAATCAATCCTAGATCCGTCTCTTTTAAAGACAAATTACTATCCAATGATTAGAAGGAAACCTTCTCAATAGTAACGCCACCGACATACTTATCACCTATGGCAATAGACACAAACGAGGAAGAAGATGAAAAGGCTTCTGAGGATCCTGAAGGAGAATTTAAAGTTCCCGTAAGTGGGAAAGACAAACTACGTATTTACTACCCTTGGAGATTCTCAATTATAATTAAACTACTAGGCAAAAAAATCCTCCACCAAGTTCTCAAATGCAAACTAATAGATCTTTGGAAACCAACTAAAGCTTTCTCCCTAATCAATGTTGGTGAACAATATTACATAGTAAAATTCAACAAAGAGGAGAACTTGGAGAACATATTACAAAAAGAGCCATGGTTTGTCTTTGGCCACTTCCTTTCAGTACAATGTTCGGAACCAAATTTTGTTCCCGCTACTGCCAAACAAATTTTTACTGCAATTTGGATCCGCCTACCTCATCTTCCCACAAAATTCTATGATGAAGAAATTCTGAAAAAAGTAGGGAACACAGTAGGCAGATTACTCAAAGCGGATGCTTGCACATCAGCGGCTTTAAGGGGTCGTTATGCTAGGCTTTGCGTAGAGCTATCTCTAGATAAACCAGTAAAATCCAACGTGTGGATAGGCACTCACCAACAACAAATCCTCTACGAAGGAGAAAATCTTCTCTATAAAAGCTGTGGTCATCTAGGTCATACAGCTAGACAGTGCAATATCAAGATACAAAGTCCAGCAACCTCATCATCTAAAAACAGTAGCGTAAAGAAACAGAGTGGTCAGGAGCAAGAACATTTCCCCAAAAAAAGGAAGAATGGAAGACAGTTATCTTCAACAAAAAAAAGAAGAACTCTAATGCTACTAACAGAGTCACATATATAATCACTTTATTGCTCTAATGGAGCAGAACATGGTTTTGGATAAAACCACAAACCACTCATCGGAGGTTGAAACAAAAAATAAATTAAACTCTAATACCGCTCACATTATTGACACATATATAGGACACATGTCACATAACACTAATAGCTCTTCTAATAATACTTATAAAATATGTACTAAATCAGCCACCTCCCCAAATCAACCAATACATCCTAATAATTTTGTGTTGCATGTCACTGGTGATATTGTACACTTGTTTCAAAAACAGGCTACCCTCCTCCAAATGGCCAATACTTTCCAACACGTAAACCAAGCCCAATCCCCTTCCTTACTTGATAAATCCAGTACGCTACTCCTTCCAAACGCCATGCAAACCGAGCATACAATCATTGGCAAAGATCATGTGCATTCTCAAGGATCTAATACAGTCCTAACACATCTTATAAGTAATAATCCTCCAACAAATAATTCCAAGGCTTCCCTTTCCCAGCAGAAGGCGATATCGCCTCATCCAGATCCTACACCAACAAAGACCTCTGAATATGGAAAATCAACATCCCACCAATACTCCAACAACAAACACCCCCACCATATTCATCCAACCTCTACTTCCAGAGAACCACCAACCTCTATTATGGGTGAAGTTGGATCTAGTGGGCTATGACATATCCTTCAACATAATGTTAAATGGAAGGAAGACAATAATAGTGATACAAAACTCCACTACCTAGCCCCAGCTAATCTCGGAAGGAATCCGGATGACAATGAACAACTTCATGAACCATGTGTGGGTGAACAACATTCTTCACCCAATAACCCCAAATATATCACCCAACTTAACTCAAATGATGATGGGACAGTGGAGTCTTCCACCATATTTTGTCCCAGTACAAAATGCAAACCCACTGATGGATCTTCCATTCTTCACTCCGGAAGTGATGACCAACATCAACCCAGTATTCACACCCTGGGATGCACATGCAAACCAAGGTCAAACTCCAAATATTTATCATGCAGCCCAGTTTCACCAACCAGGATCATCCCACCCACAAACTCACTCAAACACACCACCAAACATTCCACAAACAGAAATAATGGGGGAAGCAGTGGAACACAACTCAATCCTAGAATCAATACTCAAGGATTCAAATCTCGACGAGGTAAAGGTGTTCATCTTCATGGAGATGCAAGAGTAGAGGCAGATACTTAAATGTCCAATGGCTCTCTACAAGTGTATAATAGATATAAGGCCACCGGCAGATCCGACCAGGGCAACATGCAATGATCTTGGTTCCCTTCCAAAGAAGGAACCCAATACATACACCAAGAGTGCTGGAGAATAGAGACCTTCACAACTGGAACATCATGATGAATAGACCTATCAATTTCATTATATGGAACATTAGAGGTGGAAACAACGATAACTTTAGGTTAAAATTTAGAGATATGGTTAACACTCATCATCCCTGCATGGTAACACTCTTGGAAACAAGAATGGACAACCATATGGCTCTTCTTAACCCTTTTGGGTTTTCTGATATGATTAAATTTCCGACTCAGGGTCAATCGGGTGAAATGGTTATCTTGTGGGATCACACCCTAGTCAATATTCACAGTTTCATGCGTAAAGATCAAGAAATCACTGCAATTATTGAGGTAATCCCCACCCATAAATATTGGTTATTTACATCTATCTATGCTAGTACTAATATAAATAATAGAAATCAACTATGGGACAATCTCATTAACATGCATAAATCTTTTAATGGTCCGTGGTTAGTAGAGGGAGATTTTAATGATGTCCTTAGCTCTAATGAAAAATTCGGTAGAAATTCTATTAACAGGAACCGGGCTAATTATCTCTGGAATTGCATCAATAAATGTGGCCTCATAGACCTAGGTTATAAGGGGTGCAAGTTTACTTGGACCAACTGTAGGAAAAAAATAACCTAATCATGGAAAGACTTGACAAAATCTATGCTAATAGTGAATGAATTAATTGGTTCCCTAACGCTACTGTATCCCATCTCCCCAAAACTCACTCCGATCATAATCCTCTATTACTTGAAATAATTCCAAAATCTAACTTAGCCCTTCAAAAGCCTTTTAGACTAGAAATATTTTGGTGTAGGAACCTTGATTTTAACAAATTATTTACCAATTCATGGATAGGTCCAAATTACCAATAAGCTTCAAACTCCTTTCTTAATAATGTTAAGGATTGGAAAAATAAAATTTTGGAGATATATTTAGGAAGAAAAAAATAATTTTGGCTAGACTTAAAGGAATTCAAAATTCTAATCACTTCCCACACAATATCTTACTTCAAAATCTCGAAAAAGAATTGCAATCTGATTATAACAATTTCCTGAAAATAGAAGATGACTATTGGAAACTGAGAGCTAGAATCTCCTGGATTCAGGACGGAAATGCCAACACTAAATTTTTCAATATCATGGCCACTAATAAAAGAAGGAGGAATAAGACCACTCATTACAAAAATGAGGCAGGTGTTTGGATCAATGAACCAACTGAAATCTTAAATCACACCTATCAATTTTTCCTCAATGCTTTCACAACCTCCCACCAATACACTAACTGACTTGACATTACCAATAGTCCGACTAGCTTTAGCAAGGTGAACCTAAATTCCCTTGAAACCCCCTCTAATCCCCTATGAAATAATCAATGCTGTATTTTCGTTCAAAACTTTCAAGGCTCCAGGGCAAGATGGAATTCACCCATTTCTTTTATCAAAAATATTGGAAAATGGCGTGTCCTTTAGTTATACGATTTTATCTTCAAGTTTTTCACACCAACACTCTTCCATCGGGCTCTAACAATACTTATATCTGCCTAATTCCAAAAATTGATAATGCTAATAACTTAAAAAAAAATTCCCTATTGGTCTCTGCAATACGATCTATAAAATTATTACCAAAATAATTGTAAATAGACTTAAGTCTTTCCTAAATAATCTGATCAGTCCCTTTTAATCAAGCTTCATCAAGGAAAGAAGATCAAGTGACAATGCTATAATTGTCCAAGAAATCATGAACCAATTCAAAAAGACCAAAGGGAGAAAGTATAATATGATGCTTAAGCTTGATTTAGAAAAAGCCTTTGACTGTCTTGAATGGTCATTCATCTATCGTATGCTCAGATTCTTCAATTTTTCACCCTCTATATCCAAACAAATCATTCATCGTATAACAACTAGTAACATTGCCATTCTCGTTAATGGATCAACTACATCCTTTTTTAGTCCTAGTAGGGGTATCAGGCAAGGATGCCCCCTATCCCTTTATATTTTCATTCTATGCATGGAAATGTTTCCACGCTTAATTTCCCATCAAGTAGATATCCATAACTGGGATCCCATACACCTTAGACCAAATGATCCCAGTATTTCATATTTATTTTTTGCGGATGACCTTACCCTTATGGGTAAGGTAAACAAGAAATCTTGTAGCACTATTAAAAGGAGCATTTCAATTTTCTGCTCCTTGTCAGGGCAAAACATCAACCTGCAAAAATTAAAAATAATCTTCTCCAAAAAATTTCCCACAACTATCTCTAAATAAGTTGCTAAAGATTTTAATATCAGCATTAGCAACATCTTTGGCAAATTCCTGTGATTTTCAATTCTTCAAAATCATCCTAACCCTAGGGATTACCAATTTATTATTGACAATATGCAAAGGAAATTGTCTTCCTGGAAAGCCGATTTTCTAAACATAGCGGGTCGAACCACCCTAGCAATATCAACTCTTAATGCTATCCCTAGTCATGTAATATAATACACCCATCTCCCCACCAAAATATTAAACCAAATTGACCATATTCAACATAACTTCATCCGGGGTTCCATTAATGAGGCCAAGAAAGTTCACTATGTCAATTGGAATACCATTACTAAAAGTAAAGAAGAAGGAGGGCGTGGCATAAAAGATGCTAATACAAAAAATTTAATAGCACTCAGCAACCTGGCCTGGAGTATTATTACCACACCCACAGCCTTATGGTGCAAAGTTCTCAGATCCAAATATGCGAGAAATAAAACTCCAATCTCCACCTTCTTCATCTGGAAAAATATCCTTAAAGGGTGGTCAATCTGCACTAAGGGCATCACTTGGCAACATTGCAAGAATTCTAATCAAAATCTTTGGCTATCCAATTGGATACCAAGCCTCCAACCCTTAAGGGAATGCATCGAGGGTCCTCTCAATAAACATGAATTATCTACTAAAGTTAAGGAAATCTTTTTAAATGGCTGATGTGATCCTTCAAAATTATATTTTGAATTGTCTACCAATATTATTGAAAAAATTCATCAAATACCTATCCCCTTAAATGAAGACAATAAAGATACTCCTATCTGGAATATGAACACTAATGGCTATTTCACCAGCAAATCCTGCCTTACAATTATTAAACCTACCATAAAGTCCCAATATGACTTCATGTGGATATGGAAACTAAATTGCCCTAGTAAAATCAAATACCTCCTTTGGCAATGTCTGCACAACAGACTACCATGCAGGAAATATCGTCAACATATTGGGATAAATATAGACAATAAGTGCCCGATGTGCCACAATGAAGAAACATCTATAGAGCACATCTTCATTAACTGCCCCCTAGTGCATCACTTATGGGATAAGCTTGGTATCATTAACCCTCCATCAATAATTAACCACCACTGGCTCATCCACAATAAAAATCAGACCCCTAAACTCTAATCCCCTCACCTGGAATGGTTTGACCTCCTTCCCTTTCTAATATGGGGAATTTGGATTAATCGCAACCACAACAACACTAATAACACCAATATTAAACCCTCCTTAAAGAATATTTATAATCATGCGATTGAATATCACTTCTTCACTACCAAAAGCACTCCATCGCAGGCCACCAGAGTAATCCAAGTTAAATGGCATGCTCCACCAAAAGGTTGGATTAAGCTCAACATAGATGGGGCATGCAACAAAATAGATGGT